CTTCGTTGAATTTGTTAACTACGAAGTGGACGTCATGACTGATCCAGTGTTTGGCAGAACTCTAGACAAAACTCCTGAAAGGGTGTCCAGACCAACAGACTATAAACTAAAACAGTACTTTGGTACAGGCATTAACAGGCCACAGCAAACTTCTGTGCCTGTCAAATCGGTTAATCCATACAATACAGAGAAATGCGATTACTGTTTAAAGGGACATAACCTTGACCTTTGTCAAGATTTTATGAAACTCTCATATAGTGATCGTCGTAAGTTCGCTATAGTAAACAACATGTGTTTCGGTTGTTTAGGAAGATTTCACGAAAGTAAAAACTGTAGATTTAAACGAACCTGTCGTAAATGTGGTAAAAATCATCCTACTGTTCTTCATGCAGATTATTTTACTAATCCATGGCTTAACGCTCCACCAGCATCATTGCAAGCCAGTGGTGTTAGTTATCAACTGCCATCAACACCTTTTAACGCTCAAACATCAAACGCACATCAGCAAATGCAGCCACTTCGACAACCATCACATTATCCTTATCAACGTCCACCTAATGCCATTTATCAACCTAACGTCAATTATGGAAATAGAAATCTATCAACACAACACAACGCATCACAACAGAATATTTCTCGCCCAAATCAGCTAAGTAGTAATGTGCCTAATTTGAGTAATGGTTGTATTGACACTAGTATTGCACCGAATACTGATCGAATAATCAGTCATTGCACTGATGATGATTTTGACGTAATGATGTCTATTGTACCGGGTAAAGTAATTAGTAAAGACAGTAACGCAAGTAAAATGACTTATATTTTTATTGACAACGGTTCCAGTGGTTGTATATTGGATGATGACGTAAAATCAGACCTCAACGTTGAAAGTATCCCAACGAGAGTTAATTTAGGAACAATGCATGGACATAGTGAAATTGACAGTAGTCTTGTTAAAAATCTACAGGTCACTGATTTAACTGGAACGAATATTATAGATTTACCACCAGTTTATACCACGTCTGAAATTCCTGTAAGTTCCTCTAAAATACCAAGACCGGAAATTGTAAAGCGCTGGGATTATCTTCAAAATATCTTAATTCCAGAATATTTCCCTGACATCAAGGTTGGATTGTTAATTGGGACAAATTGCCCTAAAGCCCAAGAGCCATTAAAGGTAATACCGAGCCAGAACAATGGACCTTATGCCGTACTTACTCGACTTGGATGGACCATTGTGGGACCTATTAATGCAGAAACGTCAACAAAATGTTAGACTGTAATCGTGTCTTCATTAAAGATCTGAACAGTAATATCAATGGTCGTCAAGTGAGCATTGATAACCAGATACATGATATTGACACTTGCAAAATGTTTGAACATATTGTTGAAAATGACTTTACAGAGTATAATTGTAAGGATCCAGCTTATTCTCAGGAAGATAAACAATTTCTTCATATCGTGAACACCGAAACTAAACTTGTAAATGGACACTATGAAATACCATTGCCCTTTAAGGACACAAACTTGAATATTCCAAATAATAAGGAATTAGCTTATAAACGTTTACAATCTTTGAAAAACAAAATGGAACGCTACCCAGAATATAAGCATGATTATTGTGACTTTATTTCTGATTTGCTAAACCAACGATATGCTGTGAAGGTCCCAAGCGAACAATTATATGTGCCTGACGGACAGATTTGGTATGTTCCACATCATGGGGTGTACCACACAAGGAAACCGGACAAACTTAGGGTAGTGTATGACTGTAGCGCCAAATGGAATGGCCTTTCATTAAATGACTGTCTTCTTCAAGGACCAGACTTTGCTAATTCTTTGATTGGTGTTTTAATTAGACTACGTGAACATCCTGTCGCTTTCATGGCAGATGTCGAAAAAATGTTTTATCAAGTCAGTGTACCGCCTAAGGATTGGAATTATTTACGTTTTCTCTGGTGGCCTAACGGTAATACAACTCAACGTCCAGAAGAATATCAAATGACAGTTCATATTTTTGGAGCGGTCTCGTCTCCAAGTGTGGCCAATTATGCGCTCCAGAAAACAGCAGATGATAATTTTGTTTTTGGTTCAAAAGTGATCGAATCAATTAAACGTGATTTTTATGTTGACGATTTGCTAAAATCGTGTGAAACCGAGCAAGAAGCCATTGATCTTGCTAATGACTTAGTGCATGTTTGTGCTCTTGGTGGTTTCAATTTGACCAAGTTTACCAGTAGTAATAGAACGTTTATAAACAGTATTACAGAAGAAAAACGTGCTAAGAATATTAAACATTTAGATATTAATTGCGATGATTTGCCAGTCGAACATTGTCTTGGTGTTCGATGGTGTGTTGAAAGTGACATGTTTACCTTAAATATTCTACTCAAAGACAAACCATTTACTAGGAGAGGAATTCTCTCTGTGGTTGGATCGATATATGATCCATTGGGATTTTTATCTCCTGTGACCTTGGAGGCCAAACGAATTTTACAGGAACTCTGTTCATTGAAGATTGGTTGGGATGATGCAATTCCGGAAAACTCTCAACAAAGGTGGATTAAATGGAGAAACCAAATTTTCAAATTAGATCAGCTGAAAATTGAAAGATGCTTACGCCCTCCGGATTTTGGATTAGTAGTAAAGCGCGACATCCATATTTTCTCTGATGCATCTTCCACTGGATATGGATCCGTTTGTTATCAACGGATTGTTAATGATCAGGGCCAGATTCACTGCGGCTTCCTTATTGGTAAATCTAGACTAGCTCCTTTAAAACAAAAAACAATTCCTAGGTTGGAGGTGTCAGCAGCAACGATTTCGGTGAAACTCAGCATCATGTTGTTAAACGAATTAGATTTAGCGCCACACACAGTAACATTTTGGACTGATAGTACCACAGTCTAGCAGTATATACGTAATGAATCAAAACGTTTTCATGTTTTTGTGGCAAATCGCATTAGTTTCATCAGGAGTTCAACTCAATTAGAACAGTGGAAATATGTAAACACAAATACTAATCCTGCTGATTTAGCATCCAGGACAACCACCGCAGATAATTTCGTAAAAGACCCACGTTGGCTCATGGGGCCGGGGTTTTTGTGGACAACTGAAGATACTTGGCCAGAACAACCAAAACTTTCTGAACTCAGTTCTGATAACCCAGAGGTCAAACGTGAAATCGCAACACTAGCTACTATCAACACTGATATTAATCCGGTCAATAAGTTAATCGAGCACTATTCTGATTGGTTCCGCCTTAAACGTTCAGTTGCCTATATGCTTCGTTTAAAGGATTTATTACGTAAACGTGTAAAGGATATTAATGCTGTAGATCAAGATATTCCCGCTGAAGTAGCTGGTGCACAACGCGAACGCTATGTAAGGGATAAAACATTAGCGATTAGGAATTCTCACACACCCTTCAAGGAACTTAACGTGGAGGAACTTAACGCATCAGAAAACGCTATTGTGAAATTTGTTCAGTTTAATTCGTTTCCTAACGAGATACAAATACTCAAACAAAACGTTCAAAATAATAATCGCCACAAAATTGTGCCAAGAACCAGTTCATTATACCGACTTGATCCAATTATTAGCGAAGGCCTACTTCGGGTAGGTGAACGTTTACGCAACGCAGACCTGTCGGATAATGTTAAACACCCAATTATTTTACCTCGGAATGGACATTTTACCAACTTAATTGTGAATGATATTCATCGGTCTGTAGCTCATGCTGGTGGAGGTCACACTATAGCTATATTACGTGACAGGTATTGGATCATAAATGCAAACTCAGCTGTTCGTAATATCTTGTCCAAGTGTATTACATGTCGTAAGCTTCGTGCACCCATAATGAATCAAAAGATGTCAGATCTTCCAAAAGACCGTGTCACAGAGTCTCCTCCTTTTACACGAGTGGTCGTGGATTACTTTGGACCATTTACTGTGAAAGAAGGTCGCAAAGAGCTTAAACGTTACGGCGTAGTTTTTACGTGTTTGGGTATTCGTGCAATACACATTGAAATAGCCTCGTCCCTTGATACTAGTTCTTTCATTCAAGCTCTACGTAGATTTATTGCCAGGAGAGGCCAATGTGAAGAAATAAGGAGTGATAACGGAACTAATTTTTGTAGTGGTGAACGAGAATTACGGCTAGAAATCAATAAATGGAATCAACGCCAAATAAACGATGAACTTCTACAACGAAACATCAAGTGGACCTTTAATCCGCCAGCTGCGAGTCACCAAGGAGGTGTCTGGGAACGCCAGATACGGACAATTCGTAAAGTATTGAACTCTCTGTTATTAACGAACAGTAATCCAACGTTAACCGATGAATCTTTTTGTACCTTAATGTGCGAGGTGGAAGCGATAGTGAACAGTCGCCCTTTAACTTTCACCTCAGACGATCCTAGTGACTGACCCCATTAACCCCTAATCAGTTATTGACAATGCGTTCTAAATGGCTTTTGCCCCCAGGTTTATTTCAACGTGAAGATATGTTTGCTCGCAAGTATTGGAAACAAGTTCAATATCTTGCAGACTGTTTTTGGACAAGGTGGCAAAAAGAATATTTGTTGACGCTTCAGGAACGTGTTAAGTGGTCAAAACCTCAATGTAATTTATCAGTAAATGATATTGTGTTAGTTGTTGATGAAAATGCCCCTAGAAACCAGTGGTCCATGGGACGTATCACTGAGACTGTTAATGATGCTAACGGTTTTGTTCGAAGTGCCACAGTTAAGACTCAAAATTCAGTAATGCGTAGACCTATAACGAAATTAGTATTATTGATACCTTAAGTGTTTTAATATGCGTACACAGTTTTATTGTGCATGTTTCTGTTTAACTTATTTGTTTTTCATTCTTCCGTAACTTTTTTGTTAAACAATATGATTGTTTAAGGGGCCGGTATGTTACGGCAGAATGCCGTTTCCTTTCTTATTTAGTCCAAGTCTGTAATTTGAACGTAACGTAATCCAAATCCGAGTTTCATACATTGATGTGCAGAAAAACGGCATGTGTTTTAGAGACCATGCATTTCTAACGCCTGTTACCCTCTCACAAGTTGTAAGTTTACTTGAGAATTATGTAAAAGTGTAAACAGATATCGCAGATCATTTTCATATTATTTTTATTCACTGTCAAGTCATAATTCTGTCAAATTTAACGATTTACTTTCGGGTGTTTTTTTTCCCCACGCAAAACCGATATTGCTTGTGTCACGTGAGTGCAATTTCCTCGTCTGCTATATGTAAGTTTGTATTCCTTGATAGGTGATGCATTCCATATTATGAGTCGTTTTAGTGCCAGCATCACTCATCAATACTTATTATTTATTAGTTATGTAGAACGTATATGTTATAGAGTTTATTGTAAACACATGCATGTGTATTTTTATCTTTTCAGTGAAACCGTTCTTCGTTCTTCGTTCTCTCTTTCATCACACAATCATTCAACGTTCATGTATTCAGTAACGTATATATACCTACCTTCATTGTCATCATAATGAACGAGTTTATCAAACATGGGTACAGGAATAAACGAATAAGGATTGATTTTTCTACTTCGTTTTTTATTTTTAACGAACCGTCATTGCAGGAGCAATAGGTACTTTCTATGTTATATAATGGTGATTCTAACTTATGCACATATTTAACGCGTGGCATTCCTAACAATTCATAAAAAACGACGTAAATTCATAACTAACTACGCAAGAACACTAACCAGTTTAGACACAACATTGAAACTACCATACCCCTATTCAGTCCATCCTTGGGATTGATACCACAAGGGCTGTAAACACGAATCTCATAACCATATATGACCTAATATTTCGGTGCAAATTCTTAAAAACTAGATGTATCGAAACAACTATTTGTTTGCCGTTTTAAATTTATACCATCTGGGCTATTCAAAGTTAGATTTGGGAGTCAGAATTGTACCTAGTAACCTTTCAAAAACTTTTTAGACATATTGCAATCCATGTACAACAGACGAATTCAACGAAATAATATCTACAACTATGTGAAAGACATGTTGCAAGTCGTATCCAAAAGGGAAAAATAACTATTAGCAGATAGTGACTGGTTATACACGGGGGCAATGTCATTTATTGTAATTAATACCGTTTTCCTATGAACTAAGGCTTTTTACTTATCAATGGAGACGCTTTTATAAACAAACTGTTGTGGTTGTTTCAAGTTTCATGCTGTCATATTTAATGTCCCTACAAACTGGCATGAATTCAAGTACCTGGGCGTGATTACAGCGATATAGGAATCCGGCGAAAACTACAATATAATGGTTCAATTCAGTTTAATATTAACAAAACCGGTCTATATTCAACTATGTTATCGCACATCAACACGTCTTCCTATTAAACAGGCATTATGCAGGAGCAAAATCTGTGTATTGCAGGTCTTTCTTTATGCCTTAAATGTTATTTAAATTATTAATTAGGCATCCATTAACTTATTAAGGCCATAATCAACTCCCGATGCCATCGGATGATAAATCTGTCTAATGCAGGTCTTTCTTTATGCCTTAAATGTTAGATAAACTATTAATTAGCCATTCATTAACTTACCAAGACCATAATCAACCCTCGATGCCATCGGATGCTGGAGATTTTCAACTGATTGTCTCAAGCAGTATTATACGGTTTCTGGCTAAAACCGGACAATTATTTTATAAAATAATGTGTAGGTTTCGTTACCAAGTACAACACGTGGGTAGACCTTTAAAGGAAAGGCAATAGATTATCAGATCACCCAAAGAAAAAATTGAATCGAAATCTTAAAGGGTTACGTATGCGGATAAGCGGTTTTGAGTTGACGTCAAAACGACTCAATATTTCGAATAATTCCTCTTTATTTTGGCGCTTAAATTTGATACCTACACTTTTGTTTCTGAGATTCTGATAAAATCCGGGATGTTCCCTTTAAAAAGAAATAATGCAAGTTTATACAAAATTGACAAATGATAAATTCGGATGCTAATCAGAAAAAAAAATTCTATTGTGGCTCAGCTAGGTCGCGTGTGGGAAATGTGACGAAAAACAACGGCTGAAATTCAGTTTCCCAATACTAAAAAATTCTACAATACCAAAAATTGCATAATCCAATTTACTTTGTGAAATGAAATGAAATGGGGTTTAACCTTCTACTTTTCTGCTTCGAACTTGTGAAGTTTGGTCGCTTCTGGAAAATGTGTCGGATAACAACTGCTGAAATTCATTGTCCCAATACTGAAAATTTCTACAATACCAACAATTTCATACTTTAATTTACTTGGATGTCTTTTTACAAAAACTCGCTTTCCGCTTTTTCATCCTGCTTACACCCTATACTGATCCCTTTGAACCCCAGGTTGGGAAACACAGCTCTCAAACACAATGTCATGTTTTTGTAATCTACTTCATGTAACTTGTCCCTTTCTTCAATGATAAACAAAAACTCTTTAATTAATAATTATATCAAATTAGTGATTTAAATGTTTGATTTACAATCAAATTTAAAAACTTAATTTTAATCCTTGACGAAGAGAAATTCTAGTCTAAGATTGGCTAATCTGACTTTTGAGAATGCCAGACTTTGTCAACTACTAATCTCTAATTAGCTAGTTACCGATTAGACCAAATCACAGATTATTTTAGACACTGTTCGAAAATATGGGACTTTGAGATGTTTGACTGTTCACTAGGATCTCTTGATGGTTGGATGATAAAATTATGTCCGCGATTATACACAACTTGTACCACTAGCCAGTGCACTCCAACAAAGTACCGGAGCTTCTACTATTGGTGCAACGATATATCTGTGCGGCCAACCAACCTGACGCCGACAATCAGTGACAGAGTTTCTAAGCCCCCCCCCACCCGACACACAGAACAGAAATCTAACGATATGCAGATGGTCCTGCTCTGACAATTAAAACCAAACATTATATAAATATTTCGTACATTAAAAGCAAAGGATATCAATATATATAATATTCAACGTCAGATTATGGTACAACCTCAATATTAAAATCAATAATAAAACGTTATATTTTGATATTAAGCAGGATAAAAGAATAACATGTTATTATTGATGACTAGATTTATGGCTAAATGCAACATTTCAAATAATATACATCATTAAACATTAGATACCAGATTCAAAGTACCTATTCACCCTTAAAATATTGAATTGATCGTTAAGTATGATACCGGGGACAAAACATTTCAATACACATTTCTGAGATAGAAAAAAACAAGCTGTTGGCATGCAAGACACGTCCACATTTTGTCGGGTTGTGAAGGCGACAAGTCGACAAATCGACAAATTCAACACGACAACCTAACCCGACAATCGTTGTTTTCTCTTTGTCGACTTGTCGGGTCAATTCTGTCGACTTGTTGATTTCGACTTATTCACAACCTGACAAGTCGACAAAATACAATTATTTCGCTTTGTCGTGCCGCGACTTGTCGCCTCGGAAGTCAATCAGTGCGCATGAGCAAGCATTCTTTGTTTAAGCGTGGAAGCCTGTTGCGGCCATTTCATAATCTCAACGAGACATCAAGGCGAGAATGCGAAAGCGCGACGCAACAGGCCGAGAATGCGAGCTTCTTAAGTTCATTTCGTACACATGTTCACTGATTAGCAACAACAGCACCATTTACCTAAAACCACCAATCTACTCTTATTTCAACCCAAATCACATATGTTTTCCGGTGTGTTTTTCTCTTGTTAGTGATGAAGGGAGGAGGGCTTGACAAGGATAACAATATAGTCGTTCAGATGGTACGAAAAACCGAGGTACCGTGTACACATAGGCATCCACGTAAACGATCCCTTGGCAGTTGGAATTCGATATTAAAGTAGATCATAGGGCCGTATGCCCGTCTTCATTAGCCTAGTCGAAGCAAAACAGTAGGACATTAAACCCTACTTCATTTTGAAATCACATACATTTAGTTGAAAGATCCCGGTGACAATACGTGATTTTGTTAATTAGAAACTATAGTGTTTTATTAGAAATTATATACTTTTTATAAACAAAAACAAACAATTTGGGGACAGCTCACGTTTATTTAAACTACGGCTTAGTTTTTAAAGCAAGGTACTTTTCTGCATCAATGAAGACGGACATACTCTATACAGTGTACTATGGGGTATATTTTTGCCCAGACAGCGGCGATACGGTCTACCCTTTTTTTAAACCCCGTCTAGGGTTCCATTACGTGTACGCTTACACGGGACCACGGTTTTCCTTCCACTCCCACCCCATATTGGAAAAGTCCGGAGTAATTTTAAAGCCAGCATGGGGACAAAAATAAACTTCTTAGGTACAGACTGTTCCACTTAGGTACAGACTGTTACACTTTTCGTTCTTAGGTACAGACTGTTACACTTTTCCTTCTTTGGTACAGACTGTTACACTTTTCGTTCTTTGGTACAGACTGTTACACTTTTCGTTCTTTGGTACAGACTACAGACTGTTACACTTTTCGTTCTTTGGTACAGACTGTTACACTTTTCGTTCTTTGATTCGATTCTGGATGACCACGCTGGTTTAACTTCACATGATACTTTTTTTATTCTTCAAACATATCAAGTACAAAACTTCTTTTAGTTAAAGAATTGTAATTAGCTTGTGTTAAGGCAGCCAAGGACCTAGCCTGGCTTGGCACAGGATGCCAACTACCAACTAACTTACATGGCCACTGACCGGCCTTAACTGGAGACCTGCCTGGTCCCAAGTTAACCGCCTAACTAACTTCCTGATCTCTTCTTTATATAAGTGACAACTGTCATGACAAGGATTTATCCTGCCACGTGTCAAAGATGGTATGTCCCAATTTTGTAACAAGATCAAGGTTATTTTAAACCCCGGCATAGTTGATCAAGCAATCTACTTTTCTGCACCAATGCAGTGTTCTATTAATAAGTGCAGGGGGGCCGTATCTTGCCCAGACAGCGGCAGCACGACATACTCTTATTTAAAGGTTCCATTACGTGTACGCCACCGGACACTGGACATTGGTAAAGCCATACTACACGCAGACTTCTAGTTTTTGGTAAAAGTCAGGAAGATTTGAAATTGGGATGCGACCAAGAAAAAGCTTTAGTGTAGTCTGTAAAAGAAACTTTTAAATATCAAAGCTAGCATAGTGTGTTCTCAATAATGATATATATATTGAAAGAATACATATCAATATATAAAATGTAGATTCCTAATTTTAATACAAGTATGATATATGGGTCGTTAGCTGCAAATTAACCAATCAAACTTTTCAATCCTATCTGTGTAAATTTCAGGTGTGGCAAGCAAAAATAAATGCTAAATAACTGCTCCCTCGCTTCGTCGAAATTATTCTTCCTTACCTAACCGAAGAGTGCTTGTTCATGCGCACTGATTGACGTCCAAGGCGACAAGTTGCGGCACAACAAAAAGGAATAATCGTATTTTGTCGACTTGTCGGATGGTACAGACGTCAAGCCGCGGTACGACACAATTGTATCTTGTCAACCCTAACCCTAACCCTAAACGGTACCTCGTTTTTTCTTTC